GGGTATATTTCTTATAGTTATTGAATAATTAACAAAAATTCATTTTGTTCTATCTAAAACTAATGTATGTATTTAACAGTTAATGTTGCTATGGTGATAACCATACATACTATGATGGAACATAATGTATCAAATAATTGCCAATGCTTGTATTTCAAAATTTGATAACAACTCTGGCATTATGTGCTGGTACGATGCACCAGCATGTTAAGTATCAAAGTATAACAAAACTGAATAAAACTTTACAATGAATTTCGAAAATTATGAAAAATGTAACATGATGGAATGCTATATGTTATCAGATAAGAATGCGACGTTAGCCGCGGAATTTTATTTCACAAGATATCCGGAAAGAAGACAACCGCACGTAAGAACCTTCAGTTGGTTAGCAGAAAATTTAATAGATGTTTGGTCCTTCCCCAAACCACATGCAAAAACATACCAAAATGACCTGCAAGAGAAATTGCAACAAGAAAACCCAAAAGCCGCTGCTCCCGAATATGAAAGAAAAATAAGTATAAACCATACAAAGCGGCAGCAATTTGCTGAAGCTTTGGACATCTCCCCACGTGCTGGAGATGTAAATCGAAGATTAGAATTTTGTAGATGATATTTAGAAATATTAAATAATTTGCTCAAAATGTTATCTGGACCGATGAAGTCTCTGAGTGTTCAAAGAAGATTGGGGTTCAATGTATGGTGTGCCCTTTTAGATAATAGAATTTTGGCATATAGTATCTACCATAAAAACTAAAACTCAGGGAAATACCTCAATATATTAAGGCAGCACATTGAGCCTTTGGTCGACAATTTGCCACTAAATATGTTTCAAATGATATATTTTCAATATGACGGAGCACCAGCACTTCTTGCCAGAATTGTTAGTGAATTTTTAAATACTACTACAAACTCAAGGACAGTAGAATCTAACAGGACTGCTACATCCATTGTTGTGACAACCTACCCGCAAACTACGTCACACCATTTTCCACGCCCAGCTGTTGTTATGGTCTATGCGTTTGCTGTGTGTTTTTAGAGATTATATCCTAGATGTATTCATATTAGTTTTGAAGTTTTATGTTTTAGACGTATTAATGTCTATCATATAACCTCTAAAAACACAGACAGTTACCAGGCGTGGCAAATAGTGTGACGTAGAGTGCGGGCAACCAACCCGTAGTTGACTACAAAAATACAATGGATGTAGCAGTCCTGTTAGATTCTACTGTCCTTGCTACAAACTTTGGCAATAATCGGAAACAATGCTTTCCCTCATGGTATGGTTATCACCATAACAACATTAAGTTTTAAATACATACAATAGTTTTAGAAAGAACAAAACAAAATGATAAATTATATTCCATCATAGTATGTATGGTTATCACCATAGCAACATTAACTTTTAAATACATACATTAGATTTAGATGGAACAAAATGAATTTTTGTTAATTATTCAATAACTATAAGAAATATACCCCACAAACTATATATATTTGTTATCAGAAGAAAATAACAAATTATTTTAAGTCATAGCCAACTATGGTTTCCATTTAAAAAAATAAAGTTACGTCTAAAATCTCGAAAATAAAAGATAGGAAAAAAATTCTACCTACACCACTGAATTCTTCGTAAAAAGTTGCCCATATAATGTTTTATTTATTAATACTCCATCTTTGATAATAAGTGAGATATTCGCGATTGTTGCAAAATTTTGCAACAAAATTTGCAAAATTTTCAGTTTTTGCCGATAGGGTGGAAACAAAAGACGATAGCTGTTCGGAGTTTTCGGCATTAGCATTTTCTCGGAAAACGAGATCATGACATGTAAGCTACTTTTTTTCTATCTCTTTTAGTTTCGGAGATGGAATATGCGGACATCGAAATTGGGACACCCTGTACACATGAACAGAATTTTTTTCAGGGTTGCCTAAAGGCTCTTCTGACGTCATTTTTATTTTTTCAAATGGCACATATACTTTCTTCTTTCAAAGTCTTAAGCAACTTGACAAACTGATTACTTTTTTCTTAAAAAATTTTTTTCTTAAACTCTCCGTTGTGAAGATATCAACAAAAACAAAAACAAAATAACATGTTTCAAAATGCAATTAAAAAAAATTAATTAATAAACCTTGGTTGGATGTGCGCTAACTTGCACGTGGGATAAAAATTTCAAGCGATAAAATCATTCTGATCAAAGCAAAAATTGAGCACTTCTCTACTCCACAGAAAATTCAGAAAATATGTTAGCTTACGGCGAAACTCGTGAAAATTTCACTGAGGCCCACCGCATTTATGTTCGAAAATTTCCTGGAGAAAGACCGCCTTGTAATAAAACTTTATATTGAATAGTTACAAAATTTCTGGAATGTGGTAACGTGGAGAAAAAAAACGAACACGTGCAAGATCGGTTACGAATGAACAGAATCAAATAGCTGTTTTAGCAGCTGTAGATGTTAATCCTCATGTAAGTTGCCGTCAATTGTCAAAAGATTCAGGCATTTCGTTAACGAGTGTACATTGGATTTTGAAACTTAATTAGTTTCATCCGTATCATGTCTCTCTACACCAACAATTACATGGCGATGATTTGAAAAGCGTGTGCAATTTTGTACTTGGGCTATGAAAAAATTAAGATTGAATGAAAATTTTTTCTTCAATGCACTATTTTCCGACGAATCCTGTTTCACCAATCACGGCGAAGTAAATCGTCATAACATGCACTACTGGTCACACGAAAATCCTCGTTGGCTAAGACAAGTTGATCATCAAAAACCTTGGTCAGTTAATCTCTGGTGCGGCATTGTTGGTAATAAAATCATTGGACCGATATAGACTGCAAAACTTAATGTTCCCTAGATGTAATAATCCCCTTGACCTCAAATGGCGTTAGTTTAATCTTTCTGTCGGATATTCATCGTCGGAATACAAATAATAATAATATTTTACATCCAGACTTATTTCAACTGACAAACTTATTTCTTCGATATATGAAGATAAATTTTTATACTCCTTATGCTTATTGCTGAATTTTATAAGCAACTATGAGATATTTCATTTCTACACAAATTACGCAAAACTAAGTATATTACGATATAATTCGGCAACCGTGCAATAAGTCATGTAATTCCATGGCGAATTCCCTGAAGTCTAGCTAAACTTCTTGTTCTGCCATATCGTCTAATGTCTAGTTAATTGTCAAGTGTTCTGTTATCTGTATCATCTATGCTTGTGCTTAATTAGCTGTACGTAGTAATTATTTAAAAAATGCCTGAACTGAAAGAAGAACTCAAATTTGACAAGAAAAAGATTTTTGTCAAATATGTTTTAAAACTGTAACAGTAAAAATACAATATAACCCCATCATTTGTTTCCTGTTTTTTATGACTTTTAAGAAATTTCCTCTATGGTCATCTAACGGTAATAGTTGCTATTCATGTCAACTATTTTTGTATTGTTAAAATCTACTGTATGATCAATTGTATGATAATCTTTCAATGTTTTGCAATCGGCTAGGTCCATTCCAGTAGGAGTCGTCCTGTAGGAATCTTCCAGTAGCTACTTTTCAAATCCAAACTGAGGTTGTTAACCGCATTAGATATAGTGAGTAGGATGGATGATTCATTCGGAAGGATTTTCTAGATCCATATACAACAAAGCCTGTTCTAAATTAAGTGCGCACCATTGGTTATTAATGGAGGCACAAAATCGGTTAAATAAGTAAACTAGTTGCATTTTTTCTGCCGATTACAGCAGTGAAAACAGAAAAACCATTGCATGTGTCCTTTATGAAAAAATTTGAAAAATGTAATTTTTTTAAATGGAACACCCTGTATATTTTTTGCAAAATCAAATGTACAACATTTTTAAATGATCGTCATGTATTAAATTGGTTTGGCTTGATGATGTACTTTTTGACATTCTTTCAACATTCAGGTGATGCTTGATTTATTGTATTAATCTTGTATTAATACTCTTGTATTAATTTGTGAAGGTATAATTTTTCAGAGTTGTGAAAGGCAACTGTCCATTTGTGGTTATGTCTACGTGTACGGTGGACATAAAGTTTCTGTATTCTTGGAATCACTTATGTTACGCAATCTTTTGCTGGTTTCATCAAATTTAGACACATTCGCCTTTTCTGACATGTTTTTCCAAAATAACCCTGACTCGAAATTTCAAAAAATATCGGTTTTTATTAAAATCAGTTATATTGTTTTATAAATTTTATTCATTTATTTTTATGTAGACTTCCTCTCACATATCCATTTCTTTCGATTTAGTCAATATTTTAAGACTTTTCATATTATATAAGCTAGTTTTATGGTTGTTTTCGGTAATATGTCTGAAAAACGCTGAATTAGATTTTGAAGTATGCTTGTTTTCAGATTTCTGCCTGTTTGTCCTATGTAAAAGATGTCACAATCGACAAGTTTTGTTGAAATTTCCTGCGCTGCATCTACATCGTCAGATGTAAATCTTAACTTGAATATGTCAAACCTTACTTGATATAAATGTTAAAATATTGTTGGGATGGTAACTGCCCTTTAATTTTTTCGTAAATTCACAAAGTTTTATTTGTAATAGCTTTGGAATGTATTGGCATTCGTTTTTTGACTTTGTCTTGATCCAAATCATTAATGCTTTTACCACGTTCTCTATTGCTACATCGGTGACCGATGAAGATATTTCTTTTTTACTTCTTTCTTATTTTTAATTCATTTCAACATAATAAAATTTTGAACATTTTTATTCGGCATCTGTAAAATGAAATAAAGTACAATTAAAGTTTGAAATTCGCCGATTTCATTTTATTTTTATAGGAAAATTTTGGACAACACAAACTAATATATGAAAATAATAACTCAACTTAATTGTTTGTTAATTCGTTTCGTGTAAATACGTTTCGATCCTAAAATTGCGCATGCGCATTGAAGTAAAAATTTAGTATAGGAGGGTGTCGCTAGTGTCAGTGTCAGTGTGGCGGCCACTCAGGTGTCCACAAGAGGGCGGTTCGTGTACAAAGTGTTCACGATTGCGTGTTTTATTCCGTTATCAGAGGCGGCCGCCACCGCGCCACCACCGTCGTTGTCGTCTTAGACGTCGCCGATCCACCGTTGATACGGCAACGTCGCTTCCGCTGTTGCGTTTCGCCGTCCGTCGGTAGACAGCGCCAGTGTGTTTATTAATCTCTCGGTGAGCAGCGACTCGGTTCTAACCAAACCAAAAAGCGAAAACCGAACAGATCGTCTTAGTAGTTGTAGTTCGTGCTATGGCCGCGACGTGTTTCTTTTTCGATCGGTTATTTTTTCTTGTTTTTTGTTTTGTTAATAACCATTTCTTTACGACAACATACAACGGCGTGTTATGCTGAAACCACCAAATAGAAGAGGACGTGACGCGTCTTGAAAGAAGTGGAGGCAGGCGATGATGGGTGATCAGCGTGGTGAAGCGCCGGAACGACTGCTCGAGCAGCAGATCATGCAGCTAAAGAAACAACAACAGCTGCAGCAGCAAATATTGTTGCACCATTTCCAACAACAACAGCGACACCTTGCCGAACAACACGAACAGGAACTTCGACAACACCTGAAGGATTTTTGGGAACAACAGAAGAAGATACAGGAGATGCGACAACGGGAACAGCTCGAGGCGCTCCGCAAAAAGGAGAAACACGAGGAAAGTGCTGTTGCTTCGAACGAGGTTAAACAAAAATTGCAATCGTTTTTACGACAACGAGCTAGTGGTTGTTCGAAGGCTCCAACGCAGGAAAATTCATGGTAAGTACTTCTTTTTTAAATATTTTTTTCTTAAATTATTCTTCATTTTTGTTGTGTGTATTTAAATGAAGCGCCAACGCAACAGCTGTTTTTGTGGCGCTACCAACCACGCGAAAACGAACTTTTTATATTGTATGTACACAAATCGCGGGCGGCTTCTCTCTGCGTATAACTTGTTGATTAACGATTTAAAATTAATTTTCTCGTTCCTCCCACCGCATCTAAAAATAAACCTGCAGGTGGCACCGAGCGAGTTTTAACGTTTAATTTTGTCCCATCCCCCCAAACGGAACCCGTATATTTTCACTTTTTATTTTTTTATCCACACAACATAACCTATTAATATACCTACATTCTAATTACTCATCACTCTCTTTTTAGCTTTGATAGGAAACTCTTTTTCTATCGAACGTTTTTCGTATTTATCTTGATACATATTTATTTTAACATTTAGATAAATTAAGTTTTAGCTGTTGTTTCTTAAAATATCTTCTTTTGTCTATATTCGTCACCTAACTTGATCTAAAAATAACCTTTTAAAATTATTACCAACCTAAATATAATTTTATTGGGATAACTTACTGAGACGGATTTCAAATTATTATTTTTGGCCAGTACTCTAATCTAAGTATTTTCATTTATGAATTACCCGGTTTAATTTTAAATTCATTTAACTTTATCTAACTTTATAAAAATAATTTTTATTAAATTGGTATTATTGTTAATTTTTTTTTTGCGTACTTTGTCACATTGAAATTAATTTTTATCAATCTCTTTTAAAATATCTACAATTTTTATCTTTTATTTATTTTCATCTAAATTTAAGTTAACTAAACTGTTCACTTTTTTATCATTATTGTTCCTGTTTTTATACAGGGTGCCCATTATGTATGGAATATTGTATACAGGGCGTGTTATTATTAAGAGTTACTAAATCATTTGAGATAGAAAAAAATGCTTTAAACAAAAATTGTTTAACTCACCACTTTCTATAACATAAAATTACTTTCTTTTATACAGGGTGTTGCATTTAGGCTTGTACATTTTTTTAAATGAAACTCCATGTATATTTTACCATATTATGAATACATAAAATTTAATTATCCAAACATATAAACTTATTATAAAGAGTTTACGTCATCGAAAAGAGAAAAGTCTCTCTCAAATGAATCTAATGAAAATACAGGATGTTTCATTTAAAATGACATATATCTCGAAAACCAAAACTCAAATCGGAAAATGTTTCTAGTAAACATTTTTTGGTGAGAAGGGGGGCACATTGTACACATGAACAGAATTTTTTTCAAGGTTGCCTAAAGGCCCTTCTTACCTTAATGATAACCATTCACTTCTAAACATTTCTGAATTCTCATTGAAAACCTTTTCTGCACATTGCATGCTTGGCAATGTCTGATACGGTTTTTCATATCGTTTGGTGTTGTTGGAACCTGGTTGTAAACTTTCTGTTTGAGGTAACCCCAAAGAAAAAAATTGGGAGAAGTTAAATCGGGTTATCCAGCTGGCCAATTCACCGGTCCATGACGTCCTATCATTTTTTAAGGAAACATTTCGTCTAAAACTTCTCTTGCGGCTAGAGCATAATGAGATGGACATCCATCATGCTGATACCATAGCGCAAGTCTTCGCTCCAGAGTAAGGTCTTCCAACAAAACCGGTAAATCGTACAACAAAAAATTCCGATACTTTCTGCCATTCAAATTTCCATCAATAAAAAACGGTCCAATTATTTTATTGCCAACAATCCCTCACCAGAAATTAACTAACCAAGGTTTTTGATGATCAACTTGTCTTAGCCAACAGAGGATTTTCATGTGACCAGTAGTGCATGCTAAATGTCTTTCATGTGAATGTTAAGAAAAATTTCATTCAATCTTAATTTTTCCATAGCCCAAGTACAAAATTGCACACGATTTTCGAAATCATCACCATGTAATTGTTGGTGTAGAGAGACATGATACGGATGAAATTTCCGATGTACAGGGTGGTTCATATTCGATGTCCGAATAGGCTCGGAAACTATAAGTGTTAGAAAGAAAGTAGCTTACATGTCATGATCTCGTTTTTCCAGAAACTGCTAATGCCAAAGACCTCAAACCGCTATCGTCTTTTGTTTTTCCCCTAGAGGCCAAAATTGGAAATATCGTAAAACCAGTAGGTGCAATTATCTTGGTTATTATTATAGGTGCAGTATTATAACTAAGACATTACGTGGATACTTTTTTACAGAGAATCTGATGACGCAGTCAAGAAAAATTGAGATATGACAATTTTGGTTTTTTTAAATGGAAACAACCACTGATTATTTGCTTATTAAATTCGTTATTTTTTTCTGATTACAAAAATATGGGATTAGATAGGTCTATTTCTTATTGTTTTAGAATAAAGCTAAAAATAAACTTTTTTTTAGTGTCGTCCAAGGTTTGTAAAGCGTATTGTACCGTATTGTACAATACGCTTTACAAACCTTGGTGTCGTCAAAGAAATTAAATTTACAGTTTCCTGTAAATTACGGTACTGTAACTAAAAATTATTCTACTAAAAATGTATATCAAATTTACTTTATTTTCTAATATGTAACATTCTAACATGCTAAACTTTTCATAATTTTCGTAATTCATCTTAAAAGACACGATTTTTAATTTGACAGTTCAGAAAATTTTTGAATAGGTACAAATAAATGTTGCTGTTTATTTGAATTAAAAAAAAAGATATGATCGCCATCTATCAATAATTTATTAAGTCATTTAATAATAATATTAAATATTAATAAAAAATATGAAATAATGCAATCTATTCCAACTTTTGTGTAAAACAAATATAAATTAAATAGTTCAACAAATGTATTTGTTTCAAATATCAGAAATATGTTTTTTTATTTTTTAGTTATAATTTACAGGAAACTGTAAATTTAATTTCGTTGACTACACAAAAAAAATATTTAATCAATTTTCTAAGACGATTTCAAAAGTTAAGAAGAATTTTAATATTATTTTTACGATTCATTAAATCGTTTTTTTTATTAATTTTTTTTTTTTAATTACATTTTGAAACATGTTATTTTAGTTTTGTTTTTGTTGATATCTTGACAACGGAGAGTTTAAGAAAAAAATTTTTAAGCAAAAAGTAATCAGTTTGTCAAGTCGTTTAAGACTTTGAAAGAAAAAAGTATATGTGCCATTTGAAAAAATAAAAATGACGTAAGAAGGCAACCCTGAAAAAATGACTCACCAAAAAATGTTTACTTGAAACTTTTTTCGATTCGAGTTTTTGTTTTTGAGATATATGTCATTTTAAATTAAACACTCGGTATATGTTGCTATTTAAAAAATTTGTTTTCAGAAATAAAAACATTTGAATGTCGACTTATTATGGAAAATAAAATGTTAAACAACTTTTATATAAGAAATTTTTTTATAAAGTTGATATTACCGAGATATACAGGGTGTTTCATGTAACTGATTCGTTAGAACTTTTTCAGTTTCCACTATTCGTAGAGATTTGAAATTTTGGTAGCATGGGTTGTTCATTCGGAACTTTCGATCTAACATATTTTCAAGATGGCCGCCACTTCCGGTCTACCGGAAGTAGACCATAACTTCGTTATTTTAAATGGAATGCTATAAATTTTATTACACCGTTTAATTGTACGTAAAAAATAGGTTGACTTTGATAAAAGGTATTGATACCTAGCGTTTTTCGTTTTCGAGTTATTTTGGTTTTAAGCTTTTTTTGGTAAATTTCAACATGCTCTTTAAAACCCCATATCTCAATTATGTACTTTGTTGTGATTTGAGGGTGTGCTATTGTATTTGATATGCCAAGAAATAAATGATATTGTATGTATTGATTAGTAGACAGTAATATACATATGGTATCCCACGTAACTGGTTTGTTAGAATCGTCGATTCGTCGATTTCCTGCCTAAGCCGAAATCTTCCTTCTCGAGTCCTAGTCTTAGCTTTTTCTCACTTATGAGTATACGATGCTGCTCATCTTCTTTCCGTGCGTACTCGTTGCTATTCAAAAAATTTAATAAAGCTGAGATTCCTTCCATGAAAGTATTAGCGTCAACTAATGCAGCAATTTCAATCATTTTAGAACCGACAGGAAATATTTTTGGAGTGATTTTCCAAATTAACACACCGCTCTAGAAGCACATCTTTGCTAAGTTCCTCATGAATAGGGTTGATGGCTGACAGAATATCATTTTGCAATGGAGCATAATCGTCGAGTCCTTAATGAGGGAAATTTCTCTCTCGAAAGTTTCGAATGATCAACCCGTACTATCAAAATTTCAAAACTGTACGAGTAGTGGAACCAGTAGAACATGGGATACCCTGTTTATTTATGTATCATTAATTTTTTTTAGTATCACTGGTGATTTTTTATCAAAAGAAACTATAGCATCAACAATTAAAAAACTCAAAGAATTGATATGTATTCAGTTAGAAAATATTCTATCGAAAATTGTGTTTCTTGTTGTTATACTTTCCATGAACAATTTAGCACTTTAAGACGTTCGTTGTCGACGCTATTCTTGTACAAATTAAATAGGATTGTTACCTGGGTTTTCAAAAGGAATAATTTATAAATTTTTATTATATCATGATATTCGTTAAAACGTTCTAAACACATCTGAGGTTATTTTGGACAATAAATTTTTTAGATTGTATTTTTTTGCATTTTTGGGTTCGACAGTTACTTCATCTTCTGATAACATAGGGTTTACATTTTTTATAGACTTGTTCTGCGGATTCTTACGAATTGCTACACGAAATAATAAATATTTTCTTCGTTTTGTTCCTCTTATCGTCGGACATAACATTTTCCGAGAACAACCATTCGATAACGAGAAGTTCCCGAAATTTTATTATCTTTATCTTATTTCTTTGTGGCTCTCTCGTATACGATATAAGCATTTACTGTAGTTGTTTCTAAGAGTGAATGTAGTATTTATTTCCGATACTTTAAGTATTGTT